TATAAGTAATTTATGTTTCAAGGTTATAACGACTGATCTTCCCATGCTTGCACCTCGTCCCATACTGGAACCTCTGCATCAGCACCTTTGGCTGCTGGAATTTGTGCCTTGCCTTAGAAGCAAATAGAGATCTTACGTGGAGAGATATGCAGCATATAGGTAAGTTCACGTATTTATATAAAAAATTATTCTCAATAAATTTTCATAATCAACATTTTCTTTTCAAATTTATTTTAAATTTATTTATATTAGTTCTTACGTTTATATTATTTGCAGTTGTGCGCACTGCTAAACCTGCCAATTTGAAATCAGACGATTGGGCAACTAATGGAGTTGGCCGTAATGTAAGTCACTCCTTTGGTTATGGGTTAATGGATGCAGCAGCAATGGTGAAATTAGCCAGAACGTGGAAAACAGTACCCGAACAAAGGAGGTGTGAAGTATCTGCTCCACATATAGACAAGTAAGCAGATTTCTAAATCATCAGTAAAAATTTGTGTAATATATACAATGAATTTATAATATATTATTTTTAGGTTGATTCCTCCAAAGAGCAAAGTAATTCTGCAATTGCCTGTGTCTCTTTGTCAAGGAGTAAATTCTTTTAGAGCATGTTCAAGCTAAAATTCATTGCAAGCATCGCGACGAGGCGACATTCAGATACATCTCACGAGTCCCGGGGGCACTCGTGTCACTCTACTAGCTGCTAGGTGATAAAATGCTGACGATCATAATTTATTACATTACTTTATCTGCATGTACTTTATTTCTTTTAATGGCATTGTATAAAACTCTCAGTTTAATGCTACATAATGGTATACTCAATATAAAAGTTAAATATCATGTACTTTCGAAAGTATTCAGGTTTGTTTTATACTAATTTTAATGTTATAATTTAGGCAAAATGATGCTTCACGATCAGGATTCAGTAATTGGCCTTTTATGTCCGTCCATACATGGGGAGAATCACCTCAAGGTCTATGGCATTTAGAAGTTCACAACGAAGGCCGATATATGGGTTAGTAATAAATTAGTAATAAATAAATTATAAAGTAATTATAATAATTGTCATGAAAGGTTTCTAACTGTTAATATCTAATACATCAGTATCACTTTAATATTACTAATACTAAATAATTTTTATTCTTATGCTTACTAACAATTTCGGGATCATTCTGGATATTAGGCCGAGCGACTGTCCATACCTGGTCGCTGATATTTTATGGAACCGCTATCCCGGCTCATACCAACGATCCCATTCAAATTCGACCTCCAAATATTACATTTCCTATACAAAATCCTAACTCTTTCATACCTAACACTAATCAAAAGCAAAATTCTCCACAAAATAAAAACAATCGTAAAAATCAAAATGGCATGGCATCGACTTATCAAGTCGTTAATCAGCCCAGAAAAAATAAAAACTCAAAAAATTCTCATAGAAACTCGGGTAAAAATTCTCAAAAACAGACGACGGCTAAACCTGTTTCGAGTTTCAAAGATTTAGTTTACAAAACAACTGATAAGTTCAATTCAAATTCATATTTTTATGTAACGAGTAGCATGTTTGTTAATTCAACAACGCAATTGCCGAATAGAGGGTTTAAAGACACCGAGTCTAAATTTTATACGAACAATCAGAAAAAAGATAATCCAGCTAGCAAAACTTTAAGACCAAAACAAGCTAAAAACTGCTCCAACTGATGAAGCTGTCGATCATTCTATGAATATTAAAAATACTGTCCCTACTACGACGCCGATATCTTACGATAGAGTAATCCATTTTGGAAATAATAATCCATTGACATTAGAAGAAGATCATAAACTGCCGTCCATTTTAAAACAATACCCTAAAATTCAAAGAATTTTTCCTGTGTTTTCTGGTATTAAACCTTCCAGGGAATTTCCATATACACCTGATTCAATGACTCGTCCTGGTTCCTCTGATCACTCGTTTAGCAGAGAGCAATAATAATGAAAGGGGTATATTTATTTATAACTTGGTAGAATAGTTTGATTTAATTTATATTCACCAGATTATAATTTTTTATTGATTCTGTTAATTATGCTTTTCGATAAATAAATTTTTTATTTATATTTTTTGCATGACGTTTGACTAATAATCAAAATATAGCATTTATAATTATTATAACAAATTGCTATCTTTTATTATTTGGTATTTTAATGCTTTATCATTTGTTATCGTGTTACTACGTTATTCATATTCATAAATCTTTATTTTTTAGCCAAATTGACGCAATGGGATCTCCTATTCCACGGGACACAAGAGCCGCCACAAGAGAGTGACGTTGAATTCAGCAAGGATTCGAAATTTAAAGATTCAAAATCTGTTCAATATTCTGCGAACGGCGGATCAAATTATCCCGATGGATTGGAACATAACTCTTTAGAAACTGACACCGCCAGTGGGCAATGGAGGGATTTACATCATGTAAGTACTGGAAATATGATAAAGTATGTAACTTTATATTAAAGAGTAAAAAAAAATGGTAGAAAATTTTTTTTTATTTTCAGAGGCTATTCATAAAAATAATATTGCCCTAGCGCGTTGTTAAATTTTCATTCGGGTACTTCTTTTTTGAATTCTGTTTATAGTCGTTCGCGTATTTGATAGAAATAATAATAAAATAAGTAAAAATAAAATAATAAATAATAATAAATAATTAAGTAAATAGATAATATTAAATTTTTCTTTCTTAATATAGGATTAATATTAATTATGAAAAATATAAAGCAGGTCCTGGTGTATATAATGCGATGTACCATTAAAATATTTATATTTTTGCACTCACTAAATCTTTTTTGTCGTCTCACTTAGTATAGGGCTAATGTTTACATTCGAATTCTAATTTATATCTTCACGACTTTTAAAGTTATTCTGAATTGTTTCATGCCAAAATTGGAAAAAGTATGCGGATGTTAGTCGAAATTTGAACTTTCTTTTTTCTATTCAAAAGCCAGTTGATGAATCTCGATAAGAACTCGTTGTGCACAACGATCGGCAGAGCTTTTTCTTTATAATTTGCGGATAAGTCCAAAAAAAATGGTCAAAGATTGTGCCAAAAGTCCAGAATCGGTTTTAAAATTGTTGAATCGCACTGATAAGTTTTTGGCAAAGATTATACAGACAGTTTTTTGTCGATTTCAATGAAAATATCATAAGCTTACATAAGGTGGTTTAATTATAAAAATTAATCAAAGTTTGGAACTAGCTGTAAGTGGAATTCTGTCTTAAAGCAATTAAGGCATCGTGCCTTAAGACAAATTGCTGGAACTTTCCGTACCGCAATTCAAAATTCGAGTAATTAAAATAATCAATAATAATCAATAAAAGTTGATCAATGATTTAAAACTTTTAATAGAATTTTGAACCATATTAAATCATTCTATCTCAAATCATTCATTTTGAAATATTTTGGAAATTCTGAACTTTTTTTCAAAGCAATCATACTGCTTTAACTGCATAATGACGAAATATCGAAGCGCCGTCTAACGCGTAAACATTGATACGGAACCTATAACAAAATTTATACTTATTGTTAAAATCTCTATAAAATATCTAATTATTTGATGTGCATATGTCTAATGTTTATTTTTGACCGCCAAATGGCTCATTTTTTTACTTTTTCCTCCATATTTCTGAAGTCGTTGCACCTGCCTTTGCCAAAAACTAATCAGCACGTCTTCTTATCAATACGAAACGAATGTTTTTTGAATTATTCAAATCGCTTCATCCGTGTTCCCGAAATCGTCGACGAAAATTTGTATCCGCACACACACGCACACACACGCACACACACATACTTCCATTTTTTCTAAGGTATGCCAAAATGTTCAGAAACCTCTGAAACGTAAAGATATATAAAAATTTTCATTTTCGATTTTTTGCGACTACTATAATTGCCCTACGGGAAGTTAATAATGCACGCCACCCATAAGATTTCTTAGCAATTAGGTCGATTATTTACAGATCTTGAGAAGTTCTTTGCAACTTCCTTTCGTGCTTATAAGCGAAAATGACATCTACACCTGCTTTTCGTGCCACTAATTGTAGAATATCATTTTATTGTTCTAAATTATATTAAAACCCAGTAAACACCGTGTGATTTGAGCGACGGTAGCAATCTGAAATCCACAGTGCCTTCAGCGCGTGTAACACCCATGCCGGATTTTACTGGGAACAATCATATGTGAACATTTCGTCTCGTATTCAGAATTGTTCCTGGTGACTTCATTCAGTCTTGACATTTATTTATTTCTATTGATTTTTAAATATCATTTGTTTTCAGGTACGCGAAGGCCACATAGATGTCCAGCGCACCGCCTCGGACGACGTCACCAGCTCCGCCTGCATCAGCTACAACGACAATCACAACTGTCTAGGTTTGTTAATATTTGCGTTAGCATCGCTTTACTTCTCTCACTTCCTGTACACGTCTTCTACTGCTATTGTCTCAAATCACTTCCCAATCGATTCTGCAAACCCACGGCCAACTGAACATCAACCAAATCGTCGTGGTAATAAAAGACAAACAACTAGCCAAATTTTGAACAAAGATTTAAACGATGAACCAGAAGTGAGAAACACTTGGAAAAGTTCGTATAGTTTAATAAAAAAGCCGCTTTTAGCAAATACTTCGGACTGCGGGCTTAATATATTAATTCAAGAAGATTTAAATAGTTAATAGTTAAAATAATTTTTAGTACTTCAGAAATGAACTATTTAATATGAATATCAAAATAGAATCACACTTTTAACTCTTCAAACAATACTTAATCTTTAAATACTTAGTATAATATTAATAATATAAATTACCTCAACTACTAATATTTTACTCATCATTTCTGTTCTAATATATTTTATACCGGAGCATATGTATCTCAAAAATCAAATTGACCAAAAATGGTGTTATTAGCCCAATGTTTTTAATCATGTAGTTACTTGTACATAACATCGAATTAGGTATTAAAATAATTCAAAAGAAATTTTGTTGTGTTCAAGGACGACTAGTGCCAAATCAATTTAGGTATATAGAGACTATAAATATATATGATAAAATTTATCTGTACATTTCTTGTACAGATTTACTTCTAATGTTCCAATTACTATTTATATACATCATTTATAAATAATATATAATATAACTAACTCATGCTATTAGTTACGCTATAAATTGTATAACTTTCTAATTTAATTCCTTTGTCATAGATAATTTGCACTTTGTATATAGAACTATTTTTGTGAATTTTAGGCTACTAACTTTGGTTCTGCATGAGCATTATTTGGTAAACGAATTGTAAATTTCTATAAAATTTCCGAAAATTCTATTTATTTATTTCAAAACCTACACTAAACTTTTGGGTGGTATATAAAGCAATATTAATTATTCTTATGATGTATTCAACTTCAATGGAAACCATATTGGTTATCTATAACGTATTTGGTATTTAATTATAAATTATAATGCCATGTTTATTTCTTTGTAAGCTAAATTTAACAAAGTTTTGTCGAGCTATATGAAGTGCAATTTAGACAATTTTATTTTAAATCTATATCATTTTCTCATTTTTGTGTAAAATCTTTCGGTTCAATATTATTTATTAAAATGCAATAAAGGCTAGAGAATAAAGGAGAGAGCTTGATTTACATACAAGCTTTTCCTTTTAAGTTTTAAACAAAACGCTGAAAACTTTTGCCGCGTTTGAGTGCTGCCGAGATCGTCGGAAATAAAGCATTTCGTACTTTGGTATTTATTAATGTTAATGAAACGCAGAACATTTACGATTTTTCCGAAACTAATTTAAAAAATTGTTACAGTTTTTGTGAATTTCCTAGGATATTTTTCAATATATTTTTTCGTCAAGCTAAAGGATGTCATACGATCATTATGCTATATTTTTATATTTTAGCAGCATTCACGTCGCTAAAGATTTTAGAAAATTTGTTTAGGTTTAGAGAAAGGCACGTACAAAAATCACTCTTTTTCCAACAACTGTGAGATGAAGTTTTTTTATTTTCTAAGATATCATGTAATTGTCATAAATATTCTAAGCACAGAATACTGAACATTTCAACAGGTTTATTTTCGCTAATAGTAATTAATGACCATTTTTTAATTTTTCTCAATCATGTATTTGATTTAAAATGTATCTTCGTGACTAACTTATGAATTAACTAAATTTGAATTAACAAATTTCTTGCAGCCATATTTTTAATTCTTTGGTGATGAAGATTCCAAAAGAATCGCTTATTGCATTTACAAAATAAAGACTTAAATATTTTATTTTTCCACTATAATTCTTTTAGGCCTTGTACAAAATGTACATGTGCAATATCATGAAATTTTAACCTCTTTTTTATAATACTTTGCAATAAGAAATTTTCAATTGTTATTTGTTTTGTTGTTAATCATAAGTACAAATCAACTATGATTTAAGTGTTGTATTATTGTGATAACATGTATGTATGATTTTAATTGTAAATATGTTTCGTGTTGACATTTATGATTAGACAGTAACTAATGTAATTATATTATACTTAATGTGATAATTTTTTAACCGTGTACAATAGAATAACAGGTTAATAAGTTACTCATAAAAATAAGGCCGTGACAACGCAGTGGCGCACAGCCGTTTATTTCAACTTATCGCTGTGATGTATTTTCCCCAAAATATCGAGAAATGTATATAAATAATATTTAAATCGAACTAATTGTCGACGATATCTTTGTAAATAAAACTATTACTAATTATCCTTTATCGACATGTGACGAAATGATCGACTTCGCGCCACTTTGTCTGTTGCACATTTATAAATATATCGCTAATGAAAACATATTCTAAAAGTGCGATTTTGTATGTACATAATAGTTGTATAAATCTGAATCATTGAATATGTAAGATCCATTGTGTTGGCAGTGCAGTTTTAATATTGCTAATTATATTACTTTTTAAATTAGGTAGCATTACTATTAAATATTTATATATGGCTATTATAAATTTAACAACAAAACATATTATGAAAAAATAAAATATGATTTGTTTTCATATGACCAATTGTTTTGTTTACTTCATCCCATCCTGAGGACATACTCTAATCAGCGAAGTTACAAAGAAGAAATACATCATGAGTATAGTTCTTTTGCTATTTAACAATTAGCTTATGGTGTTGGTAATAATAATCTTTATTTTAGAAATATTTTAGGTGATGGGATATTTTAGTTGCCTGATGCAATATGACTGATATCATATAGCCACAGCTCATACAAAAGGTAGCTTGGTGAGTGAAATATTTTCTAACATTTTAGACTTTATTATGAAAATAATACTGGTTCTTTGCTAACTCTTTCTTCTCTAGTTACTTCAACAATCAATCAATAAAAATATGCAAAATTTTTGTGAGACAGAACTTTTTCTTAGAAACTCAACTTTATGCTATTATATATATACTAAGATATAACTATATCATTCTTTTCTATTTTTCAGTACTTGAGGTATTAATCATTTATTCAGTTTAGTTTAATCAAGGTAGTCAAATGAAATTAATTTTATTCTAGAGGCAATTTTAGACTTTTCTATTATAAATATTTACTCAAGTATAATTTATGCATGAAATAATGGAATATTTTTTTCTGAAGCTGAGAAAAACTAATTTTTAATCTTCATCATATAAAATTCAATATGTCAGAAAAGGTAAATCACCACTCAGCAATAATGGGCATGCACTTTATAAAATATTTTAAAATTTCTTTTGCTAGTATGGAATTCATATTTCTAATTTATCTGTTGTACATTTACAGAATGCATGCCGGATACATATTTATTTGAAGGACATTGTTATACAAATTGTCCTGCAAAAAGTTTTCTATCAGCCAAACCTACTTGGTTACCAGCTACAAGAAATCACAATAAAAAGCACTTGCTAGAAAACTTGTGGTCTTCTCTGGCGGCTCGAAATGGCCATAGAGTTCAAAGACAAGTAGAAGAAATAAATCGAAATTCGGATATGATGGTGTGTCTTCACTGCCATTATTCCTGCTTGACTTGCAGGGGACCAAATGATCATGAGTGCTCAACTTGCAACGAGGATGCTGTCCTCACAAATAAAACTAACAATGAAAATTTTTGTTACCCTTTAACTATCATGCCTCAAATCCAAGATTCAGCATGGTTTTATCGTTTATACGTAACACTAATTGTAGTTATAAGTATAATTTTAGGTGTTATAGCTTGCTCAGGTTTAGTGTATATTTTGAATAAGTGCATTAATAAAATATTATATTTGGTAAGGTCTAGCAAAGGTCAAAAGTATGATAAAGTTGCCTCTCAAGATGTAACATCAGCTCAAATTGATATGGCAGATGATAATCTGAATTCTGTTGATGAAAGCGAAAACGAATTTTGATGATATATGTATATTTTAATATTATTGGTCTCTAAGATTATTTCTGAAAAATACATAGATATACAAGTTAAAAAAAAGTATGTGATAAGTGGCTTGACTACAAGAATTCCAATAATATAATAGTGAGGGATAAATGCCTTAGAGGGCTGTTACGTGTGTGAAAATTCTATCCCAATATTTTTTCACAACTATAAATTTTATAAAACTAAAAATGTATCTCATTAGTTTGTATGAACGAGATTCGAATGATAATCATAAATGTTGAAACTAGTATTTATATATTAATTTATATTTTGGTGTAATAAGATGTATCACTTTCATAATAGTGATATATTTATGTGATCCATAGGCCTTTTTTATAACTAAATATTGTAAGATTTTATTTAATGTAATTTTTATTTTTGATACAATTACTACAATTATTTTTTGTTTATAAATGGTAATGGTCTAGCCATTACCATTGAAAGTGGAATGGATGTTGACATATATCTGTTTTCATAACATTTGAATAAATAATGATACATTTTAATTTGCACCATATAGCATTTCATCAAAGTACTTTTATTGTTTATTATGTTGTAAGTATTCATTAAGTGCCAAAGATTTCAAAGTATACAGAATATCATGTATCATATTGTGCGCTTTATCATATTTATCTACAGTTTTATTTAATTTGAAGCTCGTCAATTGATGTAAATAATAAAATGCTATGTTTATATAAAAAGTAAATAAAGTAAAATTAAGATCGATATTAATGACTATTGTCCTCATATTTGTGGTAATAAGTAATACAGTCATAATAATTGAAATTGAAATGATGTAATATATATTATAAATGATGTAATTGAGAGTGATTAATAGGGACAACTGAGGACATTCATATTGCGACATTAGAGGTGAAATTTTTAGATCGTCGCAAGACGGACAGAAGCAAAAGCATTTGCCAAATATGTTTTCATCAATCAAGAAGGAAAGTTAGAGATTCGAAGGCAATCAGATGACTCGCCGGACAGCTTCCGGGAAACCAAAGCTTTTGGGCTCCGGGGGAAGTATGGTTGTAAAGCTTATGTTAAAAGAATTGACGGAAGGGCAATACAAGAAGTGGAGCCTGCAGCTTTATTTGACTAAACATGGGAAACCTTACCAGGTCCAGACACCGGAAGGATTGACAGATACACATGTATTGGTTTCAATTTGAATTGATCCAAATGATGTATTTTATTTAAACACGGTTTATTGAAACAATTCTTAACAAGTTTTCATGATTGCTATATGATGCTAGACTTAGAGCGATAAGATATAAAAAAAAACAGCTAATTCCCTCTTACAATTATTTTTCTGTTGCTGCTAATAACAAAGACTTTTTATCACTAATATTTACATAAAATAATTTCAAATTTCAAATTAAAAAAGTATATAAATACATATTTATTTTAACTTTAAACACTACTGCCACCAAGTTGCGTCGAATTAAAACGTCAAAAATAAGTGTGAAGTTGAACTGATGCTGCCATCTGTCAAAAAAGAATCTCATTTGTTCATATGATATGAAGGTTTGAATGTTGGTAGTCCTCTACATCTTTCTTTCACGACGACCATGTTTTCAGAGATGTTTGTGTTGTCATAAATATTGTTAAAACTAATATATATAATTGTTAATAAGTTTAGATAATTAAAATACAAAATGCGTATTGAAACGTGCTATTTTTGTTCTTCAAGAATATACCCAGGACATGGTATACAATTTGTCAGAAACGATTGTAAAGTAAGTCTTGATGTGATATAAACCACATGGCTTATAGTATTTCACAATAACATGTCATATCCATCTATTAAATTGATATACAACTTATTAGTAATTTGATATGCAACTTAAATATTGATATACAACTTAAAGTAATTTATTGCATTTTCAAAAAACTATACTACTCAAATTTGATATAACCTCACAATTATTGACAGATTTCTCAAGCCTGTGGTTTGAACTATTATTACCTGAATTGTATTATATCCACTTAAATTAATTTATTACCTATATTAGATTTTCAGGTTTTGTCGTTCAAAATGTCATGCTGCATTCAAAAAGAAAAAGAATCCTCGTAAAACTAAATGGACAAAAGCATTCAGAAAAACAGCCGGCAAAGAATTGGCTGTTGATCCATCATTTGAATTTGAAAGACGAAGAAATATTCCAGTTAAATACGACAGACAATTATGGACGAAGACTGTAGAAGCCATGAAGAAAATTGAAAGTATTAAACAAAGAAGACAAAATAATCATATTATGCAGAGGCTCAGGAAAGGCAGAGAACAAGAAATTCTCAGGGATGTTAAAGAGGTAAATGAAGTTCTTTTTTATCTAGAATAGTTCTTTGAATTCTTTGAAGAGATAGTCAAATGACTATAGTTTAATGTTTTGATGGTAAACATACCAATATCAACTAATGTTTAAATATAGTTTACACGAACAGTTTTTCGATTGAAAAATGTATGGGGATTTAAAGGTTTTTTAAATGCATCCTTCTAATCATTGTTTCTTGTTTCTTTCCAATTATCATGAAATATGATCAAATTAATATTATTACAAACAATAGAAAAATGTGTTTTAACAACATATTGTTACATATTTCAAGTAATTTGGTTACATGATTGAACTGAACTCATTACTTGGGATGAACGCACACCGATTTTTTAAATAAACTCTCAATTGTGGTTATTCGGAATCATTACAAAATGTGATTAAATTTAAATTGTTAATACTCCAGCAAAATATCTGTGTAGAATGTATTTTCAAGAAATTTGATATCACAGAATTTGTGTTCAAAATGGCACATGAATGGAATTTTTGGAATCAAGATAATAAAACAAAAACAAAGTTTTACTAGCTCAATATGACCAATTTGTAAATTCAGGTTCAAAGAGATCTCAGTCTCATCAGATCTCCTGCAGCTGGATTACGTGAAAGAAGACAGAAAGAAGAACAAGAGATGGAAACAGAATCTGAATTCATTGAAGCGATTGATTCTAAAGGTCGTGTTGTGCTCGAGAAACCAATTGTTGAAGAAGCCATGGAAGATGATCTTGAAGTTATACAAGACTGTGGAGAAGTTACTCTATAACAATATTAATATTTATGTGCAACATAAAGCATTAAAACTAAAATTAATTTGCTGATATTTTATTTGTTACATGCAAATATAATTGAAAATATTTCATTTATTAAACAATAATATTCTATATTCAAATCAAAATTATTTCCCTGGCAATTTTATTATCCTAATTACATTTTAGGTATGACCAGGCAATATAGGAAAAGTAAATGAAGGAATAATTTATGCAGATTCAAATTTATTTGGTTCTTTGTTGTTCTAACAATTTACGCAACTTGGGCAGCATCTTGTTATAAATGTGATACATAGCATTACGATCAGTTAATTTGAAGCCATGCTCAACACTAGTGTTATTTGAGAATTCTATTAAGTTATCATTAATAGTTTCTTCGATAGATTCATGCCTTTCATTGGCCCAATTTTGAGACTTTTTAGTTTTATGATTTTTGTTGCGCCAGCTCTTGTTATCTTCAGAGTTATCTTCACTCTCCCAATTTTTTTTTGTATGAGACTTTTTGTCAAAATATTGGGTTTCAATAATTGAGTCGTCATCATTTTTTCGAACAGTGATACGGTCCTTACCATTCTTTGATATTTCTTGCTCAATGAAGATATTTCTAACAGAACTTTGCGACTCTTTTTCAGGTGAATTTTGACTATGCTTAGTTAGTCTATAATTGATGGTATGAATGTTTGGCAAATCGAGACGGATTTTAATAGGTGCTACTTCATCGGTATTTTTCAATGAGGTTCTTTGAATTTTATTTTGCTCTGAACTAGTTTCAGACGATACTACATCATCTTTTTCTTTCGAGGCTTCTTGGGATAAGGTGTTATTGGCTTTAGTCCAGTTGGATCTTTCTTCAGAATCGAAAAGTTCTGAACCATTTTCATTTAATTTTAGAGCACCGCAGTTATCTATATTTTTATAAAAATCGGGATTCAGCTGTTGGATGCGAGCATCGATCGGAGTAGCGTATGGAACCTGAGTTTAATTAATTAAAAATATTTAATAAGTCCATGGGATTAACTAAATTTATATATTGCATATTGTCTATACCTGACAATCCCCGCAAAAGCGGTAGACATTATCATAAAATGTGGTAAAGATCGCAGTTTTCAAATCAGAGCAGCTTACATTGCAAGGATCAATCATTTGGAATATTTGGCGTCCGCATCTGTAGATATGTAATGTAATAAAATAATTAACCAACAATATTTTTGGCTAAAAGTGTATTAATATTTGACTATATTTTTCGGTGATTATTATTTGTATGATAATATTATTCTTTCTGTGAATTCAGGTTTCTTTCATGAATTAATATCTTCCTAAATCTATGACGTATTTATAAGCATGGTAGCATTGTTTATATGAAAGATACTACCATTTGAGTTCAGGTCTATTTTCTTTTATTTATTTTTCTATTGGCTTTGTAAGAGTTCAGGTCTATGATTCATAAAATATTTGGAAATTATATAATATCTAAATGATTCAAGTCATAACACGTTATTCTATAAATCTTCATAAAGTAAATTTCCATATAAAGTAATCGAATAGTGTAGCTATTCAAATAAGAAATAAATTTTAGTAATTGTAGTTATTATTCCCTAAAGTTATGTTAGTGCTTTGTGAAATAAATATTGAACATTATGTTGTGAGCAGCTGCAGTGAATACAATTATAAAGTCGGATTTTTGTCTGAATCAAATATCAAAAAGGTTAGTGGATTTTTAGTTAAGCATTAAATTGATGCCAATTTCTACTCATAATCAATGAGCTTGTGTCATTAACATGTAAAAACATGTATTTTTATTTCCTTTCAAATTAAAAAAAATATGTCAAGCGATAGAATTACCTGTTCACGACTAGAATATAATCGCGTTCAGTTCTAAGCGCTCCAGTAATGTTATGAACAAGATTAGACAAAACTGTTACGTTGCCGGCGGCTTGTCTCAATAATTCAGTTCTTTGTCGATGGCCAACTTGATCTTCTTGGAGAGAATTCAATATTACAAAATTCATTTGGAAATATCTTGTATCCCATAACTGGTTATTGAGGGAGTTGAGCCTTAAATTGAAGGAAACACATTTTATTCAGGCGATCAAAAAATATTACCATTTATTATAACTTACA